ACAAAACTCTGTGGGGGGAGAAAAGGAGGGGAGGACATGGGGGAGCAGGAAGGTTGAGTCGGGAGAAGAATAGAGGAAAGCAGGATAAGAGATACCATAATAGAGGGAGTCAGTATAGGTTTGTGGAAAGATCTGGCACTAGTGAAATTTCCAAAGATCTACAAGGATAACACCAACTGGCAAACTAAGCAACAGTGGAGGGACTACCTTAAAAGCCCCTCCCTGATAGAGTTCGACTATTTCCTTATATGCCATCCTAGAAACTTCAACCAATGACTGATGGAAGCAGAGGCAGACACCCACAGCTAAACACTAAACTGAACTGGAACCCAGTGACAGAGAGGGAGGAGTGGTGAGCAAGGGAATCAAGACTGGGCTTGTTAAACGCACAGAAACAGCTGACTGGAACAAGGGGGAGCTCTTGGAACCCCAGACTGATGGCTGGGAGACCAGCATGGGATTGATCCAGATCCCCTGAATGTGGGTGTCAGTGAGGAGGCCTAGGCAATCTATGGTGCCTTGGATATAGATCAGTATTTATCCCTGGCATACAAATGGATTTTGGGTGTCCATCCCACGATGAGGGATGCTCTTTCAGCCTGGACTCTTGGAGGAGGGCCTAGGCTCTGCCCTGAACAAAATGACAGACTCTGGATATCCCCCATGGAGGGCCTCACCCTCCCTGGGAAATGGAGTGGGGATTAAGTGGGAGTCTGGGGTGGTTGGTGGGGTAGCGTGGGAGGAGGGGAGAGAGAGGGAGCTGGGATTGACATGTGAAGCAACCTTGTTTCTAATGTAAATAAAAAAATCTAAAAAAATACAACTCTCTGTGATAATAAGAACTTAGGAAAGTTGCTTTGACCTCAACACAGCAACCACCAGCCCCTGAATGTATTGAATACTTACACACAAGGTCTTGAGTTTCGTATCTTTACCTGGTAATTAATTAAGCTTAAATGTTAACATCCATAGTGACTAAGAGCTATCATCTTGCACAATGAATATTCTGGGTGGTTTCTAGAATTATATGACAGATAATATCATATCAAAAAACAACTATTTCTTGGATGTAATGGCTACAATGTCTGGACACAATATTATGCACCTCTAATAGACTGAATCCTTTAATACTTAATCCACATTGATATCTATTTGATATATCCATATCCATAATATATGTTTACTGAATAGGGCTGATACTTAAAGATGGTAAGTAACTTGCCAGGGTCCCTTAGACTAAGATGTAAGAACTGGGGATGGACCCCCACCTCAAACAATCACCAGACATCTCCATGTGGCTCATTCCACACCCAGCAGCACTTTACATGAAGTCAGGGTAACACTCTGAGACGGCTTTGACCAGGCCTCACTACTCTCAATGCTTTGTCAGATCTCATCTGACATAGTTTGTATTTTGGTGGGAATGGGCTCTTTTAACAAGTAAAAGTTGTGTTATGATATTTAATATTTTGCCAAGCTGTTCATCTTAGAAATTCTAAGTGCCCTCCTCTTAGAACTGAGAATTCATTTACCAAAGTTGCCCTTGAGTATTTTGGTGATGGTGTGTATTAAAGAAGATGTCTTACAAAGATGCATGGCAAGTCTTCCAGGTGTGTGAAAGATGCTGTTTGCTACTCTGGATAAATGCTCATGAGAGAAATTGCTTTCGGAGCTATGTACCAAGTAACAGAGGGGGTCACAGGCACTGTTTAATGTTAATCCTGCAACTGACTCTACTGCCTGTTATATATTGATCACCAGGATACTCACAGTCAAATCTTTTCTTTGCTTATGATTGCTAAGCAAGAAGCTCTATTGTGCTCTTTTGAAAATGTTTTCCTTTGACTGAGTCTTCTATCCATTCTGTATTTGTACTTCCATTAGCTTTATTCCTAAATAATCAAATACTTCCATTTCATTTCGTATTCATAGGAAGACATGATAGATAGATACATAGATAGATAGATAGATAGATAGATAGATAGATAGATAGATAGATGGATGGATAGCAGATGGAGAGGGGGACCAAATGCTTTGTTAATGTACTGGACTAGAAAGTGTATAAATGATAGCCTGTTCTGGGAAAACAGCTCTGTCTCAACGTGAGGACACAATTGTACAAAACCCCCAAGGCCAATGTGTTTTGCTCACACGTGGGTCAATTTTTCTCCTTCACAAGATTTAGGAAGAAGGAACATACAAAGAGAGTCTAAGAGCATCTTATGGTAGCAAGACAGACACCACTTTTGACATGAAAGAGTGCAGATGGAGTCATGTAGGCAGATCATAATGACACTTGGCTTTCAGAACTGACAATGGACAATGAGCATGGATTCCTTTCTGTAACTCATTAGAGCAAGTCTGCCGTGTTCCAATGGACATGAGTCCTTGGCTAGCCCAGTTAGAGAATTCCTGATCCATCAGCTACACAGTGCTGCACCATCATTGGGGAATCATTAAAGGAGGGATGGAAGCAGAACAGCCTGGGATCACCACATCTATCGGGGAAGACAGACAGGGAGTCACTCCATTTAGGAGGGTGGGGATATCTTTCAGCCAGAAGAGGCCCAGCATATATAAAGTAATTAACACAACAGAAGCATTCTTCTTTAATTATCTCATACAGTTGGTATATTGGTGGGAGAATACTTATGGACAAAAGTAAGCAAAAGTGTCTGATAGTTGAGACGTTATCAAATGTAAATGGGCAAAACCAGGCAGCAAACTCATCTTTTTATCTGGTGCAGTGATTGAGCTGAATTAAATTAAATTGAATCAAATCCCACTTAGTGATTTAATTAGCTCAAAGTTCATGTAACAGTGTTGACTTAGGTAGCCTGCCTACGGTCAACATAGAAAAGAACATTCTGGGATACACAGTCCCAGCTATTAATCATTCCCTCTGAAATAATAGATCACCAAGAGGCAGTACATGGAATATGCTGATAATCCTTTTTCATTGTGTGGTCTCCGACCAGAAAGAGCAGCAGTGTTGCATGGGTACATGTTTGAAGTACAACCTCTCAATCCCCACCTAGACATCCTGAATTTTCAAAAAAAAATACACATTTACTTTTCAAGTTATGCATAAAAGTGTATGTGCACATGTGAGTATGGATGCCCAAGGAGTCCAGAACAGGGCATCAGATTCCTCTGAATCTGGAGTTACAGGCGTTTTTAAACTGCATGATATAGGTGCTGGGAACTGAACTCTGTTCCTCTGCATGAGCAGTAAGCACTCTTAACAGCTGGACCATCTCTACAACCCCTGGGATCTGCATTTTATCCACATTCCCCAGGCATTCCTCTCAAACAGGTTACCAAGGGCATTAGAGTCTGTGAAGTTATTTCAGGCTGTCCCAACCACCTGAAGATACATTCTTTGTGACAGCTCCTGAGCATCAGCAGATTAGGGATATTCTGAGTACCACGGGGGCAGGGGGGATAGAAAGGTGGGTATGACCTTATCTCGGTCTTGAAGGCATTTAAAATCCTAGATTGAGTGAAACAAAAAAAATGTATAGATAAAAACATGTAAAATAATGTTTAAAAAAATCATGGAAAGTTCTACAATGGGCATTTGCAGGATGGGTAGGTCATGATAGTTCAAAAATCAAGAAGCATTTGGGAGCTGGGGTAGGGCAGAGACAAGGGATGCAGGAGAATCTGTCTGGGGCTTAATTTTACAGAGTCCTGTAGTCTGCTTTAATCCCAGCAGCCTCCCATGAGATGCTGCACACTGTCTTACTCAGTGACTACCAATTCCTCCTACTACGCATCATTCCCTTGTTTTCTCCTCTCTTTCTCTCAAGGGAATTGGTCACTAGCTCATTTGCCAGAGGTCTGGATGAATGACGCCAGGTTCGACGGCTGTCCTCTGGGTTACATTTTGATGGATGAAGACACTTTGTGATGAAGGGGACTTCTGAGCCACTGCTTCTATACTGCAATTCCCTTGTCCTGAGCAACTTTCAGTCTTGTCACTCCTGTGATTGCTCATGTTTCCTGCACATGAACTTGACAGACTCTCTGCTTTGAGAGGTTGTGGTGATATTTTGTTCATTATCTAACAAATAAAGCTTGTCTGAATGTCAGAGTACAAACTAGCCACACCAGTTAGTCATAGAGGCCAGGTAGTGGTGGTTACACACCTTTAATCCTAGCACTCAGAAGGCAGGAGCAGATGGATCTCTGTGAGTTCAAAGCCACCCTGAGCTACATGAAATTGCTCCAGTCTTAAAGAGAAACAGAGCTCACACAAAGGTGATCCCAGCACTTGGAATCCCACATCTTTAATCATAGCACTAGAAAGGAATGTAAGGCAGGAGGAGACAGGAGCTCAGTACAGTCTGAGGTTTGGTGGAGACAGATGCAGTCTGAGTACAGGATCACCCCTTCAGTCTGAGCATCGGGAGGGGTAGGGATTCTCTAGTGGCTGACCACTTTGCTTCTCTGATCTTCAGCTTTAACCCCAACATCTGTCTCTGAGTTTTCATTATTAAGACAACTAGTATTTGTGCTACAAGAGGTGGCTCAACATGATAGTTAGAGACAGTTCAGGGAGCCATACAGAGTTGCAGGACCTTGACCAAGTCTCTTCACTCTTCTCTGCTTCCTTTGCCCCATCCATACAAAGATGTTGGGGGAAGTCCTGTGCATTTGTCAATAAAGTACTGTTGAGCCTATAGGAAACCTAGATAGGAGGGACTAGGAGTCCAGGAGAACTCTGGGAAGGAGAAAGACAAGAGAGTCAACATGTGACGCCATGGGAGTAGGACACCGGGAACTATTCTCCGGTAAGAAACATACTTAGATTAACAATTATGGGGTAATTACTTAAGGCAGAGCTAGCCAGTAAGGGACAAGCAAGGCCAACAGCTTCATAATTAATATAGCCTCCTGTGTGTTTATTTGGGACTCATGCGGATCTCGAAACAGGCTCGCGCGGCAGAGCCCAGGCGACTGGCGGGGGATAAACCAAAGCGGCTAGCAAGGAAAAAGCTTCTCTTAACATAAACAAAGAGAATAGTAATTACTCCTGAAAAGTAAAATAAAATGGTTGTTAGTCTAAAGTCAGCTATTGTTACTGTGTTCTCCCCGTGTCCTTAAGTTTTCATGATAAGAACTTTAGAAAAACATTTGCATTTGATTTATTTGTTTGTATGTATGCTTGTGTGTGGAGGACAGAGGACAACTTTCAGGAGTTGGTTCTTTCCTCCTTCCATCAGTGTCCTAGAGATAGACCTCAGGTTGTGTGGCTTGGCAATGTGTGCTATTACCTGCCATCGCACTGGCCCTGAGATGTCTTTTAAGTTCACTACTTCCTACAATCAACCCCTAGAAACACTGATGCTGTGGGGAAAGCCCTTGTAACTGATTGATTTAGCAAACAACATTTGATGATTTTTATTGTCAGGGAGCTAGAAGGATGCTGTCCTTGGATGGATAAAGCAAATGGAGCACGTTCTCTCTCATCTCTTCTGGGATTTGGCATCTGTTCACTATGTGAGCTTCACTGGGAGCCTGTACTCGTGAGGCAGTCTGTGTGGTCAGGAGGAAAAGTATAATCTGGGCAAACAATTTGGTGTCTCAATCTTGACTCAGTCTCTCTTGGAGGTGTGATGAATGCTATATAAGCAAGATCTAATGTTCTGCGACTCCAAGTCTAGAAAGGAAATGGTACAAGCTGATTTGAGCCCCTCTGACAAGGCCAATAGGATGCTCCAGTCTAGAAACCTGGAAGGATTCAGCCAGGGAGAACACAATCAAAAGCAGAAATGGAGAGGAGTTCGTGGGATCAGCCCAGGTCCAGCAGCTCACAGAACACTGAAGAGTGGCTACTGTCGCAGCAGGGGTTCCCAGGTCTCTTTACATACCGTTCAAAGTCCAGGACATTTGAGTAATGAAAACCTGTGATTCAGTCACTGAGAGAACCCAGTGAGAGCCAGTGCCAAGGCAGAAGCTGTTTTCTCAGTACTCTGATTTGTGCTGAGGTCCAACAATGTCCCCAAGTATTAGTGTGGATCAGAGAGACTGCCATGACAGACTGGGAAACATATCCTGTTAACCCTTGGGAGCACCCCTCAGGTGCAGGCTGAATAGAGAACATCTCTTGGGCTGTCCAGTGTACCAGCTGTCCAAACATACATGGTAATCATAGTCTTCCCTGGGCCCAGCAGATACAGCTTGTCTCTGAGTCATGTCACAACAGAGGTAACAGGCTGCTGCTGTTCTTTCCAAGAAGCTGCTACAGCATTTCATGTGTCCTCATCTCAGAAACCTTGTCCAAAGGCATGCTGGGAAATTATGTTTCCAGGTGTTTGTGGAACCTGGCACACATGGCTAGCAGGGCACACCCAGAGTCAGACAGGGTCTGATTCATGTTCATGTAGTCTGACCCATAGGAAAAACTGGGATTTCTCTGTGCCATTGGGATTCTCATGTAACTGTTGTTTTTGTCTGTACACAGAGCCTGCTTCTCTCTCCTGTGTTCTCCTCCTTGGCAAATATCATCATCTAATATCTACTCTGGACTGAAATTTTGTTTACCCAAATTTCAGATACTAAAACTAATCGCTGGAGTGGTGGTATTAGGAGCGAGAGCCTTTGAGAGGTCACCAGTTCATAAGGGTGGAGCCCTCATCAATGGGGTGAGTGTGCCCTTATGCAAGAGGCCCCCAAGGGTTCCTTCATTCCACTGCCACGTGGGAACATAGTCAAAGCTGGCCATCTAGAATCCTGGAGTCAGGTTTTTCTGGGCCCTGGATGTACCAGGACCTTGATCTTCAACTTTCAAGCTTCCAGAATTATTTATTTTTCACAGTGCACAAATCCATAGTATCTGTTTTCCCGGCTCCAGGGCACGGCATACCAGGGTAGACAAATAGACAGCTACTATAGCAGTTCCTGCTGCTTCCTCCTTCCCTGCTGCTCATCCCAGCCTCTGAAGCTCTAAGAAATAAATTTCTGGTTTGTAATATCTACCTGGATTATAGTGCTGTGTTATAGTAGATTGGGTGGGCTTCATTGTATTTTATGAGAATATGCCGTTTGTACCAAATAGCAGGTTCCATCATAAGATAATAGCACAATGTAATTTGATTATATTCCTCCTTCACTGCCATCCCCACCACTTCCTCTGCTGATCTAGTCTTGCCTCCAAATAGGCCCCTTCTACTTTCATATCTTTGTTTAGAAAATCTGGATTCTGTATGTGAAGGGCGAAAAACCCTTCGGCATTTGCGCTTCTGAGTCTGCCCTCTTTTGCTTATTATGGTTTCTAGTTCTATACAATTTCCTGCAAATGACACAATTTTGTTCTTTTTTATAGCTGAGTAATACTCCATCTTCTTTCTTCATGGATTCCTAGGCTAGATCCATAGTATGGCTACTGTCAATAGAGCCCCCTCCCCCAGCTAGTCATAGAGCATAAGCTCAGCATATACCTGACACATAATAGAATTCAGTAAGCAATTGTGGGGTAAGTAGCCGAGGAGAGTAAAGGGAGGAGAAAAGAGGGAGGAAGGAGAATGGAGATCTAGACACACAAATGTCTTTCTGAGTTAGACAAGATCTCTAGCCCAGCCTGGAGTTCCCAGAGCTAGTTCACCTACAAAGAGAAGAGATTTAAATGGCATGCCAAGGATTTGTCACATCAGTGGTCAGGCCAGAACTCTTGTTCTCAGGTAGAAGCTCTGATGCAAGGCTTTGAACAAAGGAAATATCTCAAGCATCACAGAGTTATTTGGTCCCACCTGAGATCCCCAAGCCCCAGCTGCTACCTGCACAAGGAGCAGCCTGATGGCATGTCCAGGACCCATAGCTATGCCAGGCACAGATTCCTCAACTCAGGGCTGTGCTGATGCCCTGTAAACAGCAGAGAGAGCTGGGTGGGAGTGGGCTGCTATGGTCCTGTTCCTGAAGAGCCAGTGTCTATAAGCATCAGATGAGGATGTGTGCCCACCTTGTCAGAGATAGTGGCTCATTTCCAAGTATTTGTTAGAAACTCTGGGGCGTGGTGACCAGTAACCAGAACCTACAACACATCTCTGGGGACAATTTCTTATACCTTCATAGAACACACAGACAGAATGGGGAGTAAGCAAACAAAATGAACCCCGGACCACCACTGGGATGCCAGCCTGAGTTCCTTGCCACTGCACTCTGCAGAGCCAGGTGCTGAGCGTGTGTTAATCGGATGAACAGTCTCATTTGCCTGATGGCTTTGATTTGTGCTGTGGGGTGCTCCATCAAGATTCCTTAAACACAAATTGATCTCTGCTAATTCATGCGTCACCATCACCACTGAATATTTTGACACACGACACTTCCTCACATCGGAGAGTTGGTGCAGGCTAGCATTCTGCACTGTTCCGCCACCCCAGAATTCCCGTGTGAGCGCCGACTCTGGGAAACCTGTCTCCACAATCGAATCGTCTTACCCTCCATTTTCTACTCTTCCTATGCTTCCCTCCTGCCCCAACTTCACATCCCCATCCTCTCCCAGGTTTAACTCCTGTACCCAGTTCTTTCTCTCCACTCCCCTCTCTCTAACCCCCTCCCCACCTGCTTCCTTTCCTTCCTTCCTGTGTTGACAAAACCTGCATCTTCTCTTCCCACGCTGTCACCCGTTGGCTGCATAGATCCCTGCCTCCCTCCTCTTTGGCTGACACCTTCTGCAGTCCTCTCTGTCTCTCTCTCTGTCTCTCTCTCTGTCTCTCTGTCTCTCTGTCTCTCTCTCTCTCTCTCTCTCTCTGCACCCTCTCCTTCTCCCCCCATGTGTCTCTCTCTGCCTCATGTCTACACCCTGCTCAGCCAGACTGTGGATACAGGTCTGCCAGCTGTGGAGGGCTGAGGAGGGAGACACAGCTGCAAGGTGCAGTGCTGAAAAGCAATGATGAAAACCTAGCTCCTTTCAGCAGCCAACACTGATCAGTGTCCCCAAAGGCCAGAAGGCCACACTCGGACCAGTAAGAGCACACATCAAGTCGTCCCCCAAGTGGCCTCTGTGTGGAGACCGGTCGAACCAGGGATGCTCAAACTCGTGCTTTAGCAAATTACCTTGGCGAGGCACTCTGAGCAGCAATTAGCATTTATCAGAATAAAGTATCTGTGGCATGAATGAATGGATCCATCAATAATGCACGGCATAGGGCCGAGCCTCACATCAGCATGCATATGCTTGCTTACTAATGATCAATCATGAACCAACAAAAGTAGACATAAATCTAAAGCCATAACAACAATTATAAGATAAATCTATAATGCATATGCATTAAGGAAGCAAGATGCAATAATAACACCACTGCATCTGTTTCCCCCAAGCAATTTTGCATTGGTACCTAGGTTCACACTCAGGAAGGCACCTGCATCGAGCTTCATTATCTCCTAGGCAAAGGTCCCCATGTTTTCCAAGCACTTCCCCTGCCTGCCCCTGCACTTATTCTAACTTCTGCCAGGAGAGTCCATTTCTGTTGTCCCTTTGCCCACTTCTTGTCTCAGTTTTTAAGACCAACCTCAAGTGTTACTCTACTCCAAAACTTTGCCAGGCCTATGCAGCATATTTTTCATTTTTGTTGTGCTGGATGCTGGGCCAGGCATGGGTGAGACAGTCCTCAGCAGCTGACAAGGGCCTAGTTCTCACAGCCCCACCTGATCTGCACGCCCGGTAGTAGTACCCACCCAGCGTTTTCCACATTGATACTTGGCTTGCTTCTGGCTCACCTGCTGTATTGTTCTCACAAAAGTAAGACACTGTTCTAGAACAATCTGTGTGTGACTAATGCCAGACTGACTCAATGCATAAAATAATGAGAAAACTGAGGTTCAGGAGAATAAAAGACTTGCCCAAGATCATCTGCCTGGAGAGTGATGGGGTTGAGAGTTTTCATCACCTAGCTTCCTGCTGGCTTTAACTTCACTGTATATAGGGACAAGATAGCCTTTGTTTCTTACTTACTCAAGCCTCATAATGTCAGACTGTGGGTAAAGGCCAAGCAACTCTCGAAAACCCTAATGATTCTGGCAGCATCATGCTTTTGTCATCATGTGCATCTTAGGAGTATGCATATTTTTGGTTTTACACAGTATTTAAAGGGGACAATAGGAGCTGGAAAGATGACTCAGAGGTTAAAAGCAACATATCGTGTTAGTATTCCGACATCTGTACTGCCCTGTCCTTGGAGTTTTGACAGGATACACCCTCAGCTACAGCAGCTATGAACACCACCTGTGCATATTCACTATTTTCTATTTTAAAAGGGCCCTGCCTACCTCCCACCCTTCTCTCTTTATTTCCTTCTTCCTGTCTATTCCCCTCTCTCTCCCCCACCCCTTTCCTTTCTCCTCACTCCTGCTGCTCCTGTCCCCAGAGGACAGTATACCCCCTTCCCTTTCCCCTTTTTATGATCCCTTTCTCTAATAATAATAATAATAAAAACAACTCTGTTTGAATCCTGTGGCATGACATCTTTCTCTCACAAACCACTTTTCTTAAATTATATGCTCTTACGGAGGACCTGCATTTGGTTCCAAATATCTATGTTGGGCATCACCCAACTCAAATGCCTTCTGTAGGTCTCTCACGTGCCTGTGCACACATGTACACAAACACACACACACACACACACCCATACAAAAGCCAACAGTGAAATAAGTAGCTTTTTTTATTTATTCTTAAAGTTGACAGTCAGAGAGTGAGCATTTGGTCCAATTTTAGCCTCTGCTTAATACAGGTTGACAAACATGTGTTGTTTCTCTAATATCATATTACTTATACAATGACATATTACTTATACAATGTTATGACAGTAACATAGCTAGCTTTGAAGCCCAAGCTTCTGTTTAGCGATAGTACATTCTCAATTCTAAAAACAAACAAACAAAAAATCCCAGATTGTCCTAATCTTATTAACAGGCAGGAATTCTGAGAGACAAAGTGACACATCAGAGGCCACACACCAGCAAGGGCTAGACTGCAGGTCGGAATCAATGTCCTCAGCATGGTGTCCTCAGCATGGATATTTTATATCAGTAAATATACAATGTTTCCCAGGTAGTGTAGGAATAGGATTCCCCAAAGCACTTCAACAGTCTGAAAGAAAGTACTGGAACCAGGCTCCAGCCCTGGGTTTTCCCTACAGAAGCAGCAGGTGTACCGCTTCCTTTTCTTTGGTGTTTGCAGCAGGTGTTTAGACCGTGACCACTCATAACAAAGATCTAGGTTTTGTGTTATGGTTTATGGTATTTTGTTTGCTTTAAGAAGTCAAACCAGGGGCTGGAGAGGTGGCTTATCTGCTAAGAGTACGAACGGTTCTTATAGAGGACCAGAGTTCAGCTCCCAGCATCCATCTCCGGCAGCTCACAACAACCAGTAACACCAGCTCCAGGGAATCTGGCAGCCTCTTCTGGCCTGCATGGGCACCTGAATGAACACACACACACACACACACACACACACACACACACACTTAAAAATAATAAAAAAAGAAAACTATGCAACTTTCTTATACATGACACTATAAATTTATGACAAAAAAACCTAGCCAAACCAGAGGTAGTTGTGTTGATGCATCCCTATAACCACAGAAGGTGGGAGATGAAGGCAGGAAGGTCAAGAGTTCAAGAGTTCAAAGTCATCCTTGGACATATATTAAGCTTGAGGCCATTCTGGGCTAAATGAGACCCTGCTTCAAGAATTATAAGTAAATACCATGTGTAAGATTATATGGAAGAAAATTTAACAGAATTCTTTGTAATAGCCAGAGTCTGGAAGCAACCTAGATGCCCCTCAACTGAAGAATGGATAAAGAAAATATGGTACATTTACACAATGGAGTACTACTCAGCAAAAAAAAAAATGGAATCTTTAAATTCACAGGCAAATGGATAGAACTAGAAGAAACCATCCTGAGTGAGGTAACCCAGTCACAAAAAGACAAACATGGTGGGTACTCACTCATATACGGATATTGGACATAGAACAAAAGATTATCAGCTTACAATCCATGACACTAGAGAAGCTAGGAAACAAGGAAGACCCAAAGAGAAACATGCATGGTCCCCTGGAGAAGAGGAAAGGGACAAGATCTCCTCAGCAAATTGGGAGCATGGGGGAAGGGGAGAGGGAGTTAGGAGAAAGAGGAGGGGAGAAGAGGGGGGTAGAGGAGGACATGAGGGAGCAGGAAGATTGAGTCAGGGAAAGAATAGAGAAGAGCAAGAAAAGAGATACCATAATAGAGGGAACCATTATAGGTTTAAGGAGAAATCGGGCACTATGGTAATGTCCAGAGATCTACAAGGATGATCCCAGCTAAGAATCTAAGCAATAGTGGAGAGGCTACCTTAAATGCCCTCCCCTTATAATGAGATTGATGACTACCTTATATGCCATCCTAGAATCTTCATCCAGTAGTTGGTGGAAGCAGAGCAGACGCCCACAGCTAAACACTGAACTCCTGGAATCCAGTTGCAGAGAGGGAAGAGTGATGAGCAAAGGGATCAAGACAAGATTAGTGAAACCCACAGAAACAGCTGACCTGAACAAGGGGGAGCTCATGGACCCCAGACTGATAGCTGGGAAACCAGCATAGGACTGACCCAGACTCTCTGAACATGGGTGTCAGTGAGGAGAGCTGGGCAATCTATGAGGCCTCTTGTAGTGGATCATTATTATATGAATGGACTTTGGGAGCCCACTCCACATAGATGGATACTCTCTCAGTCTAGACGCACAGGGGAGGGCCTAGGCTCTTCTCCAAATGATATGACAGACTTTGAAGATCCCCCATGGAAGGCCTCACCCTCTGGGGAGCAGAAAGGGAATGGGATAGTAGGTCAGTGGAGGAGCAGGGGAGGAGGAGAGGGAAAGGGAACTGGGATTGACATGTAAAACAAGATTACTTCTACTTTAAATTTAAAAACAGATTATATGAAAGGAAATCATCATTATCACCTTATCACCACAACCACCATCATCATCACCATCTTAATCATCACCACCATCCTATCACCACCATTATCTTCACAATCACCATCACAATTATCACTACCACCACCACCACCATCATCATCTGGAATTCCACCTTGGCATCTGGACACAACTGCATTAACACTTTGGAGCTTGAGCTCAAGCACCTTTCATGAACATATATATCATTGTTCTGAGCAAATCAAATGATAAGCTGCATTAATTGCTTACACAGACTCCTGGATAGCAGCAGCTGGTAAAGACCACCCACCCAAGGCCTCATTCCAGTGACACAGGATGAGGAGACTGTTGTCTGGTAAAAGCAGCCTGGAATTCTAAGTAGCACTGCATAAAGTGTTTTTGTTAGTTTCATCAAGGACTACAGGTAAGACAGAAACGCCACCTCTGCCCCAAGTCTTTCTTGCTCTAAGGCCTTGTGTGATGATTCATGGAATTCCTGGCAGCTTAGAGGCTGAGGGTCGAGAGATATCATTTTACAGAGTCTGAAAACAGGTGCATAGCTGTGGAATCTCCAGAGAATACCAAGCTTGGAAGAGGGAGTGAGTGGCTATGGGAGACAAGAAGGAGCCCTTATTCTAGGTGTCACAGTGAGCACAAACTCCTGATGGAATGCCTTCGTCTCATATGTCACAGGCCCACCAACAGGGCTCAGAGATGAACTGTGGCAGGAGTATTTTCCTAAGCCTCTGTGGTTTTCAAAGACAGACATTCCTTTTTTCTCTAAATGAAAACAAGGTATTGCACGAGCACCCAAAACATCTATGAATTCAAAACACTGGTTGTGACATTTTTCAGATTTGGGCTTCCAAATATTTTCTTCTGACTGACAGCCCATAAATGCCTACTACTTCGGTGGAGGATGATTAATCACCATATTTTGACCATCACTGGTATAAATTCATTATTACCTCCTTGCTGCAATTGGGCCGCTCCTCTAACAGCCTCCCTTCTCCTGCCCTCCACTCCTCAGGAAAAAATTACCTATTCTGGTATTATTAATGCAGAAATAAAGCCAGAACTATGTGTAATGGAGGGAAGTCATCCTTGCCCAGAGGCCCGTCTCCAGGAACATCATGAAGTACTACAGAAAGGTCAAAGGTTCTGAAGTTCAAGACCAGCTCCAACTACCAACTACAAGATCTACAACCAATCCCTTAACCATCCTCAGTTCTCTCATTTGTAAAGAGGGAACCATTAAAGTAACATATCCCTTTAAGAACTGAATTGTGGGGCCAGTGAGATGGCTCACCTTATAAAGGTACCTGATGACAAGCCTGATGTCCTGAGTTTGATTCCTGGGATCAACACTGTGGAAAGAGAGACCTGACTCCCACAAGTTGTCCTGTGATCTCCACACCACAGCATGTGTGTGCCTCCCAACACACACACACAAACACACACACACACACACACTCATTGACAAATAGTAATGTATGAAGGAAGTAAAGATACTATTGACATTATCAATATTTCTGAGGATCATGAATGCCAAGATGTTTTCTTTGTATCTTTACAATCAGCAACCCATCTTGAGCCAAAGAACAAGGCTACCTCTTTATCCTTGGAGTAACTATGTTGTTACATACAAGATTAGGAGACTTGCCTCTTCTTGCCTGTGAAATGCCAAATGTTAAACTACCAGGGGGATCTCTCAGTGAGTCTTGGGCTTCCCTTGTCTATACTCCCAAATCTCTCAGAGTCAGTCCTTTGGAACTCATTTGGGCTGCCAGGATCCTCATGGTGAGTTCTTCATGGGTCTCCATGCTCTATGGGTTTAGGGTAGCAGGGAGGCTTCTGTATCAGAGAGTGTACCATGTGGTGAGCCCGGCAAGACAGCCTGGTTCCTTCCACTGCCTGCACACTTCAGCATGGCCTGGGTTTGCTCATGCATCCCTGGGAAGACAAACCAGCAGATGTCATAGTGGGCATCAGTGTGCCTTCCTCCTGTCAGCAGTGTGCCCTGACCTGTTCCTGTCTACCTACTCCACCTGTGATGGAGAAAACAGGCTGGCACACAGGGTGGTTATGACATTAATCTAAACACATCATCTCTCATCTCACTCCCCATCCCTCTCCATTTCAAGTGTCCAAATGATCTGAGCTGCTCATGCCTCCCTACTGCAGGAACAGGGGTCACATCTCTGTCACTCTTGCTGCCTAGTGCTAAAGGTGAGGCCCAGGCTTCCAGGAGACAGTGACATCCTTGCAAAGTCCCATGGTCTCTCAGTGTCTCGGTCATCCCATTTGTAAGAAGAAAACATAATGTTGCTCTTTTATTTTAATACTGAATCCCTGAGAACAGTACCCCATGGAAGATATGAAAAGCCTTCATTCACTTTGAGGTTCTGGCACTATACCATCTTTATTTTTTATCAGTTAGGTCTTAATAAGAGGGGCAGAGCCAATAGGAGATAGATCAATTCATAGGTAACAGACCTATTGTAATAAGTTTGCTTGTGCCATTGTGAGAGTTGACTGTGTAAATACAGAGTGTGTGGAGCAGATGGTGAGGAGGGCGAATGAAGGAAGGTGAGGTAAGCTTTACTTCAGGGTAGAAGGAACCAAGAAGAGGGGTGGTGGATGCATCGCTTGGGGACAGCGCAGAGCCAGTGGCCATTTGGAATCTCTGAGTTCAGCACTTCTTTCAAAGTGCTTACCTGATCAGGCCAGGTCCCCCTGTCTTCTCTCTGGAATTTAGGATCAGCTGATGAGAGACTTGAACTGTGTCTCCCAGCACTACCTGGGTTAGTGTTTGACTGATGTGTTACTGCATTGTGGGAGTATGACGGACAGCAGCCACCTCTCCTCATCTGACAGATCTTATTCAGCCTCCAGGACCCAGCCGGAGTGTAACTTATCCCAGGAGGCTCCCTGAACAGCCAGGTTGGGTCAGTGCCCTTCTCTGGTCTGGTCCCAGGAAAGGGGCTTGGGCTCCTCCCATCTGACTGTGAACTAAGTGGACAGTCCATCTGAGTATAAAGCTGTCTGGGTCCCTAACACTGGTTCTACTCCATCTCTGACAAAGCAAGATGACCTCAAGGCTGCCACCAAGGCCAAAGGGAAGTGTTGACTTTCTTTGCCTCTCACTCAGGAAGCAAAAATCCAAATACCGTGGTGGGGCTTTAGCTGCAAGGGAGTCATGGCTGTGCTGCTGGGGAGGAGTGAGTGTCTCTTGTTGTAGGGGAGCAGAGGTTACAGACCTGAGCTTAATGAGATGCTAGTTCACAGGAAATTTGTCCTAAAGAAGAAATGGGATGAAATTTTGTTGATTGTTAGAGTGGATTCTGTCAGCAGAAGTGGAGACAAAGAGGAGGAATGGTCAATTGCCTTGCTCACAATCACAGTTACAAATCATGGAGGGCCTCCCCACCAACAGGTGCCAATGGACCTGAAGCTTATGTCTTTTGGAAGAGCTTCACGAGAGAAAAGTAACACACAAAATGACAAACATCAAACCAGATGCAAATAAGTGTGAGAACATATCACAACACACTGACAATATTAAGATAGCTGACTACAATGGCAAATGGCATACCCAGAAAGGTACGACTATTTCTGTTAATTAGCTGCTTGACTCCCCATCTAGAAGTCTTGTTTTTCCCTGTAAGTGGGGTTTTATGCCTGAGATTGCTTCTCCACAGAACCATTTTATGGCACACTTTTACAGGGAGTGAGCAGAAATGTATCAGCCGTCTCGTCTGGCATGGTTGGTCAAGGAGGTTTTATTGAGAATCAGGATGCACCAAACACAGATGCAAACACTGTTTGCATCACTGCTCTATACCTGGACCTTGAGAACTCAGGAGCTGTGATCGATTCTGTCTGGAAAAACTCCATCAGAAAAAATGAACGACATGCATAGGGCTTAAGATACAAATGTCTCCATGCATACTTCTGTCCTGACTGGACGTCCATAAAAACTGAATTGTCCAGGTACAGCCCATGACTTATGATTAGGACAGTTTTCCACAGACTAGCTCTGGCTTGCTGCGTCTTACACTGCGCCTCCTGCTGGTGCGTCTTACACTGCATCTCCTTTGCTACCGGCACCATTCTACATTGGGTGCTTCGGGGTCATTTAAATTAACATGGGACCCAGGCTCTGCCATTCATAGAACCCCACTAAGTAATAGATGGTAGGAACAGTCCTAGAAGTCATTACTATGCTAAAACAACTAGCAGTAATTTAATTATGCACAGAAATAACTAAAACACACAGGGTTGTGTCCCTATGTCATTGAGCCCATGGTAACTGTTTCGAAGTGCAACCTCCCATAGGCAAATGTTCAAACGGTCCAAGCCGCTGGATCCACTCAACACAAAGGGAAGAATGAGGGTGCCTAAGTCAGGCTGGAAAGAGACGGTGGCCATGAAACTGTTTTGAAGTTTTATCACCATGTAGGGCCTTATAGCTGGGGTTTTCCAGGACTGGGGGAAAAGCCTATACAAGTGGGAAACTCCCACACCACTTGAAATGCCGTATATATGACATATGTGTATGTACACACACACACACACACACAGAGAGAGAGAGAGAGAGAGAGAGAGAGAGAGAGAGAGAGAGAGAGAGAGAGAGAGAGAGAGAGAGAGAGAGAGAGAGAGAGAGAGAGAGAGAGAGAAGCATCCCAGCAGTCCCCAGCTGAACCTCACAAATAAAGCCTGCCTCTGTGTCTATAAAGTGAGGATAATTATGTGAGCCATTGGAGGCATTAAGCAAAACAATGACTGTAAAAAGCATTTATTAAAGGTGCCTGGGCCACAGTGAGGATCAGAAAATGTCAGCCATTATTAAATGCCACTCTTTCCGTGTGTACAGTAAAGTTCCTCCTGTACTGTCATTAACGCCTACCACAGTGATGACACCTTCACTATGCTGCCATTACTCCTGCCACCCTCCTCTAGGACGGGACACTTTCATGTGTGCATGTGTGTTCATTCATGTATGTGCATGTTCATGTGGGTGTAAGTGCCCGTGTGTTCAACTACACGGGTGAGGACAATCTAGAAAGTTAGGGTATCCTCAGGAATGCCATTCACCTTATTTTAGAGTCTGACCCCGAACTGACCAAGTAGACTAGGTTGGCAGACTCAGGGATTCACCCTTTTCTGCTTCCACAGAGCTGACAAGTTCACACCATCGCGGCCAGCTTTTTACGGATTGTGGGAATCAAACCCAGGTCTGAGTGTTTGCGTGGCAAGCACTTCACTCACCGAGTTCAACTTTCCTTCTACTGTGGGAAATGTGGAGTTTCCTACAGATAATTTGAAAGGACTTTTAGCAACCATTGGCCAGGGTCCATTTCATTTTCTAAGTGTAAATGCCAAGGCCCACAGTAATATCTTCCAAACCACATGACTGGAAACAAACATCTGTGGTTCGTAAATTAATGCTATTAAAAAAAATAATTGGTTCCAGGAATGGATGTAAATGCAGGGTGGTCAGTGGTTAGGGATAAAGGTTTTGACTCAGTGTCAAGGTAAAGGCAGGCCTGAGGTGGAGTCCCAGTTCAGCCATGTTCCAGCTGGGACTTGAGGGGACTACTTAACCTCTTCAGCCTCCAGTTTCCTTATAATATGTGCCCTGCAGAAGTGTCGAGAGAGCTAAGGTGAGATGATGCCCTGTACTGAGTTCTCAAGGCTGCCATAACGAAGTACCACCGACTGCATGGCAGAATCGAAGGTACAGGTTCTGGCTGGGAGGACCATCCATCCTCCTTGCATCTATGTGTGCTCCTTCCTCACGTGGCTCTAGCCTAACCTCTTATTGTTAGGATCCTGTCTGCTGGTTAAGGCTTTACTGTGATGGCCACAGTTTAAAGTTTTCAGTCACCTCCAGACATAGTGACATTGTGAAGAACTGAATATTCAGCACCTGAATCTGGGGGTCACATGATCTAGCCCCAGACAGTGTGTAGGATATCAACAAGGCACACTGTGCATACTTTACACCCACTGTTAGTATATCCTGGCTCACCCCCAAAATGACAGAGATTAGGAGCAAGAAAAGTCAAAGCTGGGTTAAGGTGTTCCTTAAAAGGCAGGTTACAGGGTCCTTCCTGCCGGTTCTGTTTTTTTATCAGGGTTGTGATCTTGGTCTTCAGACTCAGGCAACATCTTTACCTGAACTACTTAGCACAGTGGTCACAGAATTGTTTATGTTGGGTGGAGGTGGAGGCGGGGAAGAAGGGAGACACAGAGACAGAGAATGTTGTGTGTTGTATGTGAGTACCTGCGGAAGACAGGAGAGTTACAATTGCAGGGGCTTGCAAGCT